TAGCGATAAGGTCAAAGCTTACATGAAGGCAATTGATGAACAATTCGTAAGCTTTGACAAAGCTTTAGCCAGCACCCTTATGAAGAGGCTCTCAAGTATGACTTTTGACAGAAGTCGTAGAGTGCGTGCGCACATTATGGAGATGAGAGACATTGCTGCTAAACTCTCAAGTCCCCTGAGGTTGATATGTCTGAACCATTTATTGTGCATTTTATTCTCAACTCACTTCCTGTGAAATATGGTCCATTCAAGATTTCTTACAACACACATAAGAATAAATGGTAAATCAATGAACTTTTGACCATGTGTGTTCCAGAAGAAGAGAGATTGAAGCATGAGACACCTGAAAGTGTTAATATGGTGACTCATGGTAAGAGAAATGCAAATAAGGGCAAAAGTATTTCCATGAAGAAGAAAATCACCTTTGACCATGATGCTTGCCGTTTCTGTAAGAAGAAGGGATACTGGAAGAAGGATTGCCTGAAATACAAGAAATGACTTGAGAAGAAAGGTAGTTTTACCTTTGTATGTTATAAATTTAATTTTACTGAAATTTCTGATAATACATGGTGAATTAATTCTGGTGCTACAATTCACATTGCCAAAATCGTGCAGGGCTTTCTAACTCACAGGAAACCAATAGGAAGTGATCAATACGTCTATTCTGGCCATAGGACGCGTTCACGTGTGGAAGGCGTGGGGACTTATAGGCTCATTTTGAAGGATAATTTTCAGTTAGATTTAGAAAATACTTTTTATGTTCTAGAATACTCTAGAAATTTTATTTCTCTTTCAAGACTATTAATTAGAGGATATGATTTGAATTTTTATTATCCTTCTCTGAAACGTTTGAAAGATAATATAATTATTGGTTTTGGTAATTTGAATGGAAATTTATATAAACTTGAGCTAGACCCCACATTTGAATGCAATGTTTTAACTTTGCATGATAAAGAAATTGGCACTAAGAGATGTATTATTAATTAGAACTCATCAAGCCTTTGGCACAACAGATTGGGACACATCTCTATTGATAAAGTCAAAAGGTTGGTTAATGATGGAGTTCTAAAAGCTCTTGATTTTTCTGACTTTGCAACTTGTGTGGACTGCATAAAGGGTAAGCAGACCAACAAATCAACTAAAGATACCAAAAGGAGTTCTCAATTGCTTGAGATCATATATGCAAACATATGTGGACCTTTTCCTACCCCTTGCTTGAATGGTGAGAGATAGTGTATCTCATTTATTGATGATTTGTATCTCTATAATCTGTTTAACAAATCAGAAGCACTTGATACTTTTAAAGTCTATAAAACAGAAGCAGAGAAACAAACTAATGCTCAAATCAAATTTGTAAGATCTGATAGGGTGGAGAATATTATGGTAGGTACACAGATAAGGGACAAGTTAAAGGTCTATTTACTGAGTTCCTTGAAAGTGAAGGTATAATTGCCCAATATACCATGTCAGGAATACCATAACAAAATGGTGTGGCGGATAGAAGGAATCGAATATTAATGGAAATGGTAAGAAGCATGATTAGAAGATCAAGTTTTCCTTAATCCTTATGGAGTGAAGCCTTCAAAATCACTTTGTATATTTTAAATAGGGTTCCATCCAAGGATGTCCCCAAGATACCTTTTGAGTTATGGACAGGATGAAAACCTAGTTTAAACCATTTATACGTTTGAGGATGTCCAACTGAAGTGAGGATTTATAACCCACAACTAAAGAAGTTAGATGAAAGAACAATAAGCGGCTATTTTATAAGGTATGCGGTTAACTCTAAGGGATTTAGGTTTTATTGTCCTTCTCGTTCTCCTAAAATTATTGAGGCTAGAAATGCTAAATTTCTTGAGAAACATGAAGAAAGTGGAAGTGGTTTGACTCAAAAGGTGAAAATTGAAGAAATAAGGGAATCACTTGTGATACCTTTATTTATTGGGAACTTGGATGTTGCTCAGGAAAGTTCTCATGAATTATCGGAACAACAACTTCAAGATCCACCACCACTTGAGGAGCCACATGAAGATCAACCCGTTTTATCTGAACCCACTGAAGAAGTGTCTGAACCAATGGGAGTAAGAAAATCCTCAAGAGTGCGAAAACCAACAATTTCTAGTGACTATGTTGTATATATCCAAGAGTCTGATTATGATATTGGACTAAAAGATGATTCATGCTCATTTTCACAATTCATGAGTGGAGAAAACACCACACTTTGGTATGATGCCATGAAAGAAGAGTTAGAATCTATGGCTAAAAATAAAGTCCGGGATCTCGTCGAATTACCAAAGGGAGCCTCTACTATTGGTTCCAAATGGGTCTTTAAAACTAAAAGAGACTCATCTGGTAATATCGAACGATATAAAGCCAAACTTATAGCCAAGGGTTTTACTCAAAGGGAAGGCATTGATTACCATGAAACCTTCTCTCCAGTATCAAAGAAAGATTCATTGAGAATAATCATGGCATTAGTAGCTCATTTTGATTTAGAGTTACATCAAATGGATGCGAAAATAACTTTTCTGAATGGAGATTTTGAAGAGAGGTATATATGCGTCAGCCTGAAGGATTTAGTGATACGGACAAAAGTCACCTTGTTTGCAAGTTGAATAAATCCATTTATGGGCTAAAGCAAGCTTTCCGCCAATTGTATATTAAATTTCATAATGTTGTTTCTTCATTTAGATTTACGGAGAACATCATTGATCAATGTATATACCTAAAGATAAGTGGGAGCAAATATATTTTTCTAGTCCTATATGTGGATAATATTTTGCTTGCAAGTAGTGATTTGGGGTTGTTGCACGAGACTAAACAGTTCCTTATCCATAATTTTGAGATGAAGGATATGAGTGAAGCCTCTTATGTCATTGGCATAGAGATTCACAGAGACAGATCCCAAAGATTACTTGGACTGTCTCAAAGAGCCTACATTGAAAGAATTCTGGAAAGATTTAGGATGAAGAGTTGTTCACCTATAGAACCATCCATAATTAAAGGTGACAAATTTTTATTGAATCAATGTCCACAAAATGCATCAGAAAAGGAGCAAATGAAAGGCATTCACTATGCTTCGCTAGTTGGGAGCCTTATGTATGCACAAGTATATACTAGACCTGATATTGCTTTTGCGGTAGAAATCTTGGTAGATATCAAAGTAACCCTAGTTTTGACCATTGGAAAGCTGATAAAAGAGTTTTGAGATATTTGCAAGGAACCAAGGATTTTAAGCTCACATACAGATACTCTGACTCATTGGAGGTGATTGGATATTCGGACATTGATTTGGGTGGATACAAAGACACTGATAATTCCACTTCAGGATACATTTTCCTTCTTGATAGAGGTGTTGTGTCTTGAAAAAGTGTCAAGAAGACAATTGTTGCAACATCCACTATGGAAGTTGAATTTATAGCATGCTATGAAGCTACATCACATGCGTTATGATTGAAGAATTTTATTTCCGGCCTTAGGATTGTCGTTTCTATGTCAAGGTCATTGAAAATCTTCTGTGACAATTCAGCTGCAGTGTTCTTTTCTAAGAATAATAAACATGGCAGTCGAAGCAAGCACATCGACATAAAGTACTTGATGGTTAGAGACTATGTGAAGAAGAAAGATATGAGTCTTGAGCATGTTAATACTACTTTGATGATTGATGATCCTATGACAAAAGGTATGCCGGCTAATATTCAAGGATCATGTAACTCATATGGGGCTTAGTAGCTCAATTTAGTCTTGCTTTGCTCTTTAACAGTTTGTCTAGACATTATGTTTATTTTGACATACATGATAGTGCATACTTTTGGTTTTTCAAGTATTATTTGTGATAATTGGATTAGTAAAGTTGGACTCTAAATGACTTATACTAAGTTCATTCATAAAGTTGTTAGACACTTTGTTAGAATGTATTGTGCATTGTAATACATGGAAGGAAGTGTTTGTTTAAAAGCATGACCGCCATGATTCATGTAATAATATATTCTAATTAAAGTGATTGTTGCATAACTTTTAGTTGAGTGGTAAAGTCTATGGCCATATTATTATGTTCATCGAGATAAAGGATTATCTGATTTTAATATGTGGGCCAAGTGGGAGAATGTTAGAAATTCACCGTCTCTTCCGGAGACTTCTAGTGTGGCCCACATATTAGGTAATAAATTATTTACCTTATCTCCCAAGTAAATAATATATCAGATAATATTCAATAGTTTCTTTGATGAAAAGAAACTTTTTAGTAGGAGTCCCTAGGGCAATCGTAATCTATAGAGAAGTCCCTAGGGCTAAAATATTTGTCTAGTAATCCCTAGCCTATAAATACGCATGTGACTCCATCAGTCTGACATCCTACGATATGCACACGCTAGAAGGCTCTCTACGTTTTTTGCTAAAAGTTTCAAACGCAATTCCCTACAACGCTTGAACAACAATGGCCGAAGGTACGTTCCTATCAATATTCCGTTGCGTAGGCTTTGTTGCGTAGGCTCTGTATGTGTATTTAAATTCTACAATCATATCATACATTTTTTTATTCACCTCCTCTTTGATTCCCGTTTGACTCCACTCTGGGTTGTAGGTGTTCCGTCTGAGCAACCACCTCTTATTATATCATATCATACTAAATCCCTTATCTGTCTCCGTATGATTGCAAAAATCATACGTTCCTATCAATATTCCGTTGCGTAGGCTCTGTATGTGTATTTAAATTCTACAATCATATCACTTTTTTTTATTCACCTCCTCTTTGATTCCCGTTTGACTCCGCTCTGGGTTTGACTCCGCTCTGGGTTGTAGGTGTTGACCGTCTGAGCAATCACCTCTTATTATATCATATCATACTAAATCCCTTATCTGTCTCCGAATAGTTAAGTAGATGCAACTTTCCCACTTTGACAAAGATATTCCTCCTATCCTTTCATATGATTGCTAATCAACGATTAAGATCATTAAAGAATTGGAACAACCACCAACGTAAAAAAGAAGCAGAACCACCGTAGCCATTCGCTAGAATGAAAGTAGAGAACATTTTTCCATGCATATAATGTCTAACTAGTTAAAACTGTCTAAACAAGCAGTTATAATGCAAAAGAATAGCACAAAGCTCCTCTGCTATGCAGCAGCACAGACTACTTCTCAAAAGCTATGAAAATGACAACTAGAACAAAGAAATGACACTACAACATTTTGCCCAAGGGTCTTAATTCCCTAGGCATGCCATCGAAATTCCCAGAATTCACATCAGATTGAAGTAATGGTCTCTTCCCAACTTTCCAGTGTATGCCTTCTGCCAAGTGCTCCTTAGTTGGGGTCAGCATTACAAAGTTTGGATCAGCCCTTTGATAGCTGCAATTTTAAAGATATCAAGCATTAAGAAACTCTTAAAGTGAGAAATGGGCTACAGAGCTCCTATGAATTTTTTTGGGCCAAAAATCAGGATTTCAAGATTTTGATCCAGGACAGTTATGACAAAATTAAAATCTAGTAGACAGGATAAATTATCCGGCCTTGCCATCAAAGGAAATTCTTAGCCAGCTTTGGTAGATTGCTGGCTGTAGAACGAGGATCATATACTAATCACAAAATGATATGGACTCCATATAGAACTGAAAGATAACCAACCTTCCTTCTCTAATATTGTCAACACGAATTCCAAATCCGAAGGCTGTTGCTCCTTTGGTACGATCTCTGGTAGCTGTCAACCAATATAAACTGATTCTCAGAAACTAAATCTTCAAACAAAGATTAGGCACAAAACTTATAATTGCACAGGTTAGGGTTTAAGTTGGGAGCATCTATCATCAGCCATTGAGGCTCAACGCTTGTGATCTACATCTCTTAATATGAAGATAGAATGCCTGGGGGATGGGAGACTCCATTTGTTTTATCAAACAGTTGGCAAAGAAATCCAACAGATTTTCTTTTCCATATCATTTTAACAAACATTGTGACACTGTGATGAACTAAATAACTTACAACTATGAAATGAATGAACTGTTTGATTATGTTATATGTCTGGTATAAAATCTCTATTACCTGAAATATTGAAAGTGAAGGAAGGTTTCCACCATGACTTAAACGCCAATGCTAGAGATGAGCTTAGAGGCCCCACCTTTCCCTGTGGCAGTGTAACCTTTGCAGTTATTATCCATTATTTCAGTTAGTACGTGCAAATGAGCAAAGGATTCAGAAGGCTCTTACCTTAAGTAAGAAATTTTTATTAGCTTGCCAAGATGCAGCAACTTGAAAGGTGGAATCTTGGATGCTGCTTGGAGCTTTCTCATCATTAACCCTACCGCAAAAGTTCACAACCAAGTCAGATCCTACCCTACTCTGGTAAGCCTACAGCTTACTATACTATCTTGGAATACCTTGTCTGCAACTCAAATCCAAAGTCAATATAGTTAGTAATTCCAACTACTTCATCTTCTTCTAGTGGATTTTTCACCTGTCATTACATAAATTATTGTATAAGTACTACTTAAACGAAGCACAGAAAGCTTCCAAAAGAATAATGCCAAATGCAATTCTCAGAAAAAAGAATAATGCCAAAAGCACTAAACCAAAACAAGGAATTCTGATCCCAAGACACATTCTTCTATTTTTCCAAATTAGATGTCATAAATACATCTCAAGCAAAAGCTTTTTACATTATTAAGAACTTTCATCTTCTCCGTATTTTTCACTGTGATGCCACCTTTCTGATTTGATTACTGGTGTGGCCTCTATGGTTTTCCTGTGTACTTCTTTTGCTTTCTAGATTTGGCTATTGCACACAAATCCTGAAGAATTGAACTATACATACTTTCTGCAGTGGCAGAGATTATTCAATATATGAGGCCTCAACTAAAACTGAGTTCTATATTACACCGGCAATTATACAGCTTCAAATCCATGGATACCATTGATGCACATTTCTTCCTAGACAAATTAACACAAAAAAGACTTATCAACTATCAAGACCAAGAGAATGCCTTTATGTACCAAATGGGGCATAATAACAGATTAATTACAACAAATATCTAAATCCAAAATAAAAGGAAGCTAGTGCAACAGAATTCTTATGAATCGTTCAGCAAAATTGCACTTTCTTTATCATAAACTGCTGATATTAACTAATATTACTGCCAAAATAAGTTGAACTTGAGCAACTTCAAAAGGCATATACAAACAGTGATGCTAAACATTCTGAATGGAATTTGCAATTTTCAAAATTCTGATTTCCTCAAGGAAGAGAAGCATACCCGTCTTTGAACCACCACATGTTGATAGAATGAAGCAATAAACTGCAGTAAAAGCTAGGTAATATTAGAGGTTTATCCCAGGTACAAATTACATGCATACAATCTAAGACAATGGCAAGTGCATAACCAGCAAGTGTAACAGCCTAGCCCATAAAACTTCACGAAGTATTCTCCTTTTCCAGCCAAAAATCAGTTTAGAAATACAGGCTCAAATGTCAATAGCAACAAATGAGAACCGGGGTTTTGCAGCAGTAAGGAAAATTAGCACACGAGATCTTAACACACCACAGGAAGAAGAAAATACATCAAACCTGTGAACTTTTAGCAAGCTCAAGACCAAAATTGAAGGATGGGCTCAAAGGGCTGCCTGATCCCACTCCATAGCCAATGGCACAGCTCCAATTTTCTAAGTTCTTATACTTTGCGCCATTTTTGCTTCCAACTATCAAAATTAAACAGAACCAATAAAGATAATATCCCATATGAAATTTGATAAACGGAGCGCATGATAAGATACTTGCTCATCCTCTCAATCTGCCAAACACACAGAGACCACAATCCACATATGGACACATTTTAAGTTGTTTCCCTTCTCCTCTTCTCTCTCTCACACGCTCTGTACGCATGCATTGCTGGGTTACGAAACAATTTATAAGCTGTAAATGAACATTTTGACTAGATACCCAAGCTTATTCCCTATAAAACATTGAAATAAGCTTAAAGCACTTCCTCAGTGTGAAGTAGCCAAGCATGTT